TTACAGTGTTATTATGTGAGAGTAGAGAGAATGAAGCAGAATTATGAAAAGTGGTCCCCATGTGCTCCAGCAGTCTAAACCTATAGCAGCATATCCATAGATATAGCTTAAGATAACCTGATTCACTTTAACTATAAGCAAATACATGGTTCAATCCCCACAGCCCCCACTCTGAGCAAAACCCTCAACCCCACACTGCCCCCCAGGCATCCCACGATGGCAGCCTATTGCTCCCCAAGGGGATGGGTAAAATGCAAAGAGTGAATTTCTCTAATGTGAGATCAATAAAATTCAATTATTTATTATTATTATTATTATTTACTATTTCTAGGATTTGTAAAATCTACTGTTGGAAAAAATTTGTAAGTTTTTTTTATTACTCCAACAATAATAAAAAGGCAGTGTTGTCATTAAACTTGCCCTGCTGGAGACTGTGTGGTCATGCATATATCTTCTGGAAGTGCTGCAATTTTGGGAAGATGTTGCCAAAGAAATTGATTGATAAGATACTGCACCCAGAAAACAATACTTTATATAGGATATTTTATTTATATACATTATATTTTAGTTATGTAAAGGGAGCTTCAGAAAGATTCAGAAGAAGGATCTTTATCTCAAGCCACTTATTTTCTTTATCCAGAATGTGAACATTCTGCTCCTCAAAAGAATGTCCTTTGTCCATCAGGTGTAGATGTAAGTCTTGTCCAGAGGAGGGCGCTCATCTGTGTTGGGCCATGCATCTGTGCAGAGGTTGTTTGGTTTCTCCAATATAAAGATCAGAGCAAATCAAACAAGGTCTCCACAGACACATGGTCCAACAATTCCAGCTTCCAAAAGCTTACATTTCAGATATAGAGATGAGCCCTTCCACGTATCACCACACCCCCCGCCTCATCACAGGGGAACAAAGTACCTCCTCTCTTCAACCTGGTGAACAATCCCCCTCTTTAATGGCCGACCTTCAGAATCATAGACAGGTTTCAGGTATTACAGGCTAACAATGGAACCAAACGACCCGCTCATCGGTTTCAATTTGCATTTTTCCAAGCGATACAAGGCCTTGTCTATATAAAGCCTCAAACTCACTGCGGATCCAGACATTTGAATTGAAAAAGCTTCCTGGAGGGGAAACAAAACATCTTCGAACCTTGGAAACCAAGTCCAGTGGATTGTTGTTGTTTTTTTTACTTTTACAGAATGACTATGACCTGGATAACTGAGAATCTTCATCAGCAAATATCATCAACGATTGGCTGGGTGGGAGGTGTGTTTTGGACGCGTTTTGTAGGTGGCTGCAGGTGCAGCTAGACCCTCCTCTACATACACTATAAAAAACCTAAACAGGCGTGTCTCACTTTAGTCATGTACAACAACAGAAAACAATTTAATGACTAGTTTTTGGTGTTTTTTGAAGGGTATGGCATCTGACGGCTCTTCCATGCAGTCGTAACTGTGTGCAGTAATACAAAGTATTCATGCGTTGTGGGACCATGCTCTCAATTTCTTGTTTATCTGATATTTAAACCCCATCTTTAAATATTTACCTTAAGATATTTGCCTATCAGTAAAGATTAAATAAATTATTCAGTCTGTGTTAAAAGAAAATGGTTTCTTAAAAGGTTTAAGTAGAATTACAATAAGTAGTCACTATCTTACCTGCTTTAGACTGGTCTTTTGGATCAATCCCTGCAGGAAAGAGAGAAGAAGAGATTAGTTTATCTTGTTTGATGCAACTCCCTAAAATTTCAGCCATTCTTCTGCAGATTTGATTAAAAAAGAAACAACTGAAGCCTATGATGCTTGTAGGGCTTTGGAGTAAACAATGTTATGTTTTATATCCACAGTTGAAGTGAACAGAGCTCATCTTGGTGTTAGATGCAGAGCTTTCTCCATTAATAAGAAACAGATTTGTAGCATTATCGTTGGTGGCAGAATGGATGCAGCAGTTGGCCTCATGGTGAGCACTGAGTGACTGAAGTTTGTTTTCTGGAAAATATGCTTTTGTTGCTGTTTGTGTCAAACTATATTGGTGAATACGGCCGATGCAGCTCTCTTCACTTTAAACTTGATGATTATCAATGGGCCTCAAGGACTGTAGACTCAAGTGCTTTTCAGCAGCCAGAGTTTGTTTTTTCTTTCCATGTTTTGTGTTAAGAAGATCCAGCAACAACGAGCTGAGAAGCAGCAGCTGTATTCTGTAACACTTTCAAAGTTGCTCTATGTCAGGTTCATATATTCAGGATAACACTTTAAGATACATTATTGAACACATTGCAGATTTTCTCTTCTTTTATGATCCCAATAACATCCCGGCTTTATGAAAGAGGAACACTATGTTCTGAACAACTTTTGTGTAAACTTTATACAAGCTTAATTCCTGAACTAGTTTTTAAATTTAGAGAAAATATCTAAGAAATTGGGTTCTGTGGTTTCTACAGGTTAAAGGCCAAAAAAAAAAAAAGAAATCTGGTAAAATTCTGTTTTTTCTGCAGAGGGCTTAAGATTTCAGCCATTACAAGCACAGTCTATCAGACCACCTCCTTTTTTTATGACAAAATCATTGAAATATGTGAATGAAGCAGCATTGTTTGGGAATTGTGCCATTTATGAAACACAGTTTAAACCAGATGTTAGACAAAGATCCAATCCATTCTCCTATACGAATGGTGTTCTGACCTACATGCGTACCGTTTATACCCCAGCTTTATTTTTGACAGTTACCACTAGAAGCCGAAGCTAAAAACTTAGAAATGTTTAGGAGGTAAACTTTAAAGTCAATCAATGGATTTAAAACCAGCTACGCTAAATTTAGACCTTGTTCTTATAAGGGATAAACTGTCCAAACCTTGTAATGTAACCATAGCAGCAAACTGTCTTTGTGAGGCTCCAGGAAACACCAGAGCAACAACTTAAACTGAAATGTTTACCTTACATTTAACTTCACCACAGGCCAGACAGATGTGACAGCTTTCAAAGCCTCCACATCTGGCTTTGCTGAGTCACTACGTTTTTTTGGCATATCTGATACTACAACCTTAAAGATAAACACTTATTTTCTGTTTTTCACTGAGAAACACCAGAGTCACAATCAAATTGTTTTGTTGAATATTCCTCTATAGCTCCTGACAGCAACCTCAGAAAACAAACTTTGTGCCCCAAAGTTTACCATCGGACCTTAGAAAATATGCAGGACAGTATGTTGCAACGCATGCATGTGGGAATAAACATTATGAGCAGAGGCTTGGTAAAACTGAAAGAGATAATCTATGCTTAGTAGAGATTAATGCTGCTAAAGTCTCTGTTTTCTGTACCTTATATACTGTAGATGTTTATAATTTGAGCAAATTTTTTATATTCACTTACTTACTCACTATATTTTATATTTACAGATTTGCTTATGTTGCAAACAGTGGCAGAGTAGGGCTCATCTATGATGCCTGTGTTAGGAACCCTCATTCATTCCTAAGTGTTTTTTAAATATAACACAGAGATTAATTAATTAATTAATTAATTAATTCCAGGGCAAAGAAGGAATTACTTTAGGTTAGGATTCATTCAGTGATAACAACCTATTGAGCCTAGTAGGAGGTATGAGGCACAAACTGATGCCCTTCTTTGGGACTGGCAATCGCTTATAACGACCATTTAATGGGATGATAACATCCAAAGCGGCTGGCAAAACTAACCGTCACTTCAAAAAACAAACAGCCATAACTGCAGCTGTAAGGACATCTGGGGCTGAGTCAATATTTTCTTATTATGCCTCAGTTTTTGCATTGATCTTTGAAAAACTCTTTAAACAATGCATCCTCAGAAAATACATACTAGTCTGTGTTTATCATTGAGGTGTATCCCAATGAACATTTAATTGAGTGTAGCTTATGAACTGAAGGTTTCTGCTGGTGTCTTGACTCACCGGAGTCGTTTCCACTCGGTAGGTTGATGATGAGGACATGAAGAGGTGGTTTTTCAGAGTCTCCACTTACAGAAAGGTCAGAGTCTGGTTTCAGCTCGATTTCTGTGGTTGGTTCAGGGCTGAGCTCGTCTTTGAACACAATCGCAGGTAGTGGACTCACTTCTGTGCTGAAAGGTGGGGGGCCCTTTGTTGATGGGGCCATCTCCGGAAGAGGTGAGGGACTTTGAGTGGCTTTCTGCGATGAGATAAAGGCTCTAGTGGTGAAGTCTTCTGCCAGGCTTGTTGTCAGGATGTGTCCTGGAGTTCCTTCTCCTCCCACATTGCTGATGGAGCCGGGGTCAACTCTGGATGCCTCCCCACTGGAAGTCACTCCTTGCTCACCTAGTTCAGGGGTGTCCAGTTTTGAAGGCTGAATATGAGGTTCAGGCAACACATCCCCTCGACCTGGAAGCGACTCGACCAAGTCTAAACGATCAAAAACTTTAATGTCATAGTCATAGTCGGTAAAATCAAGAACGCTGGGATCTGCTGTGGTGGTCTTGGTTGGTGAATTTGCAGCAGGTTCTGGGGTTCTGTCCAGAACCTTCTGTCCAAGTTCAGACATTTCAGGGACTGCGGGTGTTGCATGGTGCACACTGGATGCAGAGATGTTGGGTTCAGACACAGCTGGAGTTGTTTGGGAACTGGTTGTTGTTTCTGGGAGAAAAGCTATAAAATGGGGTGGAAGAGAAAACAAGGTTCAAAATTTTTATTGCAATCATCGTACTACTTATTCACATTAACCAGTGGTGAACTGTCAGGGTAAGGTAAATAATTTCTACTTCATTTTGTTTTCTTGATGACAGTGAATAATAAGAACACTGGAAAAAAATCGAAGTCTAAATAAGTCATTTTTTCTGAAAATAAGTGTATTTGTTCTTGGATTGAGGAGGTAAAAGACACATTTTGCCAATGGAACAAGATAATTTACATTTAAAATAAGAAATCACAACTGCATTGTCTTATTTTAAGTGCATTTTATCTAATTATCTTATTCTAAGAGTAAAAATACTCATTACATTGGCAAACTATCTCATTTACCTACTCAAATTAAGGGTTAATACATTTAATTTAAGACATTTTTACTTATTTATAGATCGTTTTTCTAGTGAGGAGATGTTTTTGTCCCTCCCACACTCTATTGTTCAAAGAAAAGTCAGCCAATCTGAAATTCTTCCAAAAGTCTACAGGCAGATTTTAGTCCTGTGCCTGTTTGCATGAAAATCAATCAATGCTCAATAAATATGGGCTGCACAGTTTCTAGGTAACAAGAAGGTTCTGAGTTTGAGTCTGTCTGCAAGGACTTTACATGCTCTCCCGTGCATGCAGGGTTCTCTCTGGGTACTCTGACTTCCTCCCACAGTCCAAAAGCACGGCTGTTAGGTTAACTGTTGACAATAAATCGCCCATAGAGTGTCTGCATGTTGGTATGTCTACGTTTTATCCTGCAATGGACTGGTTTTCCCCTAAAAACTGCTAAAGATAGGCACCAGTCCCCTAAAAAATGGACGTTCATTAAATAGATAAAGTAATTTTTCACCTATGTTATATTTTTTGTGTTAAAAATTATGCATTTAGTAAAACTTTGCTGGAAAAAGTTTTACTGCTTCTTCCTACATGTGCACAGAACTAAGGTGTCCTTTGGGTTTTTGCAGTGTTGGGGATTGCTATTTTGCACTGAGAAAGCAGCTCTGGATGTAAGTCGAGCCCAGCCCAGATATGATGTCATCTGTTTGGCGAGCTGCAGACATCTGGCCGAACTGAGAGCTTTCTTTTTGCTCTGAGTTAACTCTCTCCTGCAGGTCTGCCACCTCTCTTAGAGCTTGGCAGTACCATCACCCTGCCTTCGGCCTACAGCCAGACATGTCAATGTGTATAGTGTAGAAAAGCATCATGCCTGGAGTGTGCACTTCTTTGTGCTACACGCTGACCCCTTTATTAACACCTTGTTATTTTATTGACTCTCTTCCACTTCCTCCGTCTGTCTGTCCTGTTTGGGCAGGGTCCAGCTGTGAAGCATTAGGGAGCTGTCCTGTTTGTCTTGTATCTGTGCTGGAGTCCATGTGCCGGGTTTTCCCCTCATAAAAGCCACCCTCCATAAACAGCACTGGAGTTCATATTTCTCCTGTCTGAATATGGGTTGTTTGCTTGTTTTCATCCCACTCTGTTACCTGTGCTGCCGTTTGGGGGCTTGTTTGTGCTGAAACACACATCCCAGTTTAATAGCATAACGCAATATCTTCTGACTAAAAGTTGCCTTTTACAAGATTTCCGTTTCTAAGGTTAGATAGGTTTACAGATTGATTAGATAACTTTATAACAGCACCTTCATTTTTACTGTTATTTTGCACAAAATGATCACCTGATCTAATGTCAGCCTAGCCTTGTTATCAGCTTTTTCTCAGAGTAGCTTCATCTGGTCTGTTCCTGTTTGGCTGTGACTCCATCCTGGAGGGAAATATCAGCTCTGCTGCTGCCATCAACAACTTAGATTACAGATGATAGAGTTGAACCTGTTTTTCACTGATAACTGATAATGGATTCAGCTCTTACTGTAACTGAATGGACATGTTCTCTTTAATCGGAACTGTCTCAGAGCACAGCAGGTTAACAGTTTGTTTCTGAGACAGGAGCCAGTTTTCCATGAAATTTTTTTGGACAGAGAGTATTTCTGGATCAGGGCTTCCATGTCTGCTTGTATCTCCTTAAATCCCTAGTCAGCCTGAGCAGAAAGCGGCTCCTACTGAGACTGGTTCTGCTAGAAATTTCTTTTGTTAAAAGGGACTTTTTCTTCTCCACTATCGCTGCATGCATGGTCAGACGCATGCTCGCCACATATTCATCCAAATGGTGCGTATAATTCAAAGTCAATATCTCTAAGTAGAAGTCCAGTCATATTTAGAATTTAAACTTCTGAAAGTTCTTTAAATATGAAATGATTCCATCCTGTTCAATAAATGATCAGTGTTTTTAATTCAGAGTAATTTTTATGTGAATGTGCTTTACTGGAGGCATCCATGTTTGTCAAAGAACACTACTGCCACCTACTGGTT